ACATTTTCTTTCAGTCAATATTGACTTATTAAATACGTGCGTATGTGACATACTAAACATACTAGTTTACCTTGAAAAAGCTTCATAGAAAACACCGACCTTACCTAACCTTCTTAGTATGTTAAGATAAGCATCTTATTGTTTCGTAATTACAATTATTACTTTACCTATATCTTTAATAGGTTAAGTAATAATTGTAATTATTACTGAGGCCTGGTCGAGGCCTCCCATGAGTTGAATTTTCTAACGTAGTGTCTGTACTAGTCTGATGAGCACCAGTAGACTAACCCAAGATTAAGAATGAAAAACTGTCGTTTAAGCAACTTATATGTATATATTATCGTATTTTTTATACAATGTATAACTACTTAATGTATATCCCAGTGCAGATATACAAAGCCCAGGAATTTAAGCTCCAAATGAGTATATGACGTCCTGATGCTGACGTCAACACGTCAACATGCAAGAGTTTGTAATGTAGATAAATAATAATGAATGTGTAGATAAAAAATAAATGTAAAATGTAGACAGTGTCTGGACCTACAGTATTTTTTTTTTTTTGAGATATATACAAGAGTTGTTACATTCTTGTACAGCCACTAGTACGTGTAGCGTTTCGGGCAGATCCCTGGAATACGTTGTACTTGGTTGTAAAATTGAGAGTATCAAAGTCCACAACTACTGAAGATAATGAGGGAGAGTCGTTATCTTGAGGTTATCTTGAGATGATTTCGGGGCTTTTTAGTGTCCCCGCGGCCCGGTCCTCGACCAGGCCTCCACCCCCAGGAAGCAGCCCGTGACAGCTGACTAACACCCAGGTACCTATTTTACTGCTAGGTAACAGGGGCATAGGGTGAAAGAAACTCTGCCCATTGTTTCTCGCCGGCGCCTGGGATCGAACCCAGGACCACAGGATCACAAATCCAGCGTGCTGTCCGCTCCTACAAGGAAAGGCTGCCATTGCTCCTCTTGTCTTGGAAATTGAAATTGAAATTGAAATAAGTTTATTGAGGTAAAATACACACAAAGGGACGAGGTAGCTCAAGCTATTCTCACCCCGTTCAGTACATCGTGTTAATACATACATATAAACACATCACAAACAATAATTTGTCTTGGAAACATAGACACACATCACAATCAATAACTTGTCTTGGAAACATAGACACACATCACAATCAATAACTTGTCTTGGAAACATAGACACACATCACAATCAATAACTTGTCTTGGAAACATAGACACACATCACAATCAATAACTTGTCTTGGAAACATAGACACACATCACAATCAATAACTTGTCTTGGAAACATAGACACACATCACAATCAATAATTTGTCTTGGAAACATAGACACACATCACAATCAATAACTTGTCTTGGAAACAACTCTTGATGCACCACCAGGTCTTAATAAGGCTTTATTATCAGTGGGATCAGCTGGAGTGTAGTAACTGTCGTGTTGTTGTTGTTGTTGTTGTAGTTGTTGTTGTTGTAGTAGGTGAGCAAATGGTGAGGGGTGAGGGGCGGGTGTAGTGTAATATGTTGTGGTTGGGGTTCAGCCAAGCCTAACCTCAGTGAATGACAGCCATAGCGCAGGGGAGGAGAGCTGGGGGAGTAGGAAGGAGAGGGGGAAGAAGTAGGTAGAAGATGGAAGAGGCGGGAGTAGGAAGAGGAGGGAGGAAGAAGAGGGAGATGAGGGAGTACGAAGAAGAGGGTGGGGGGGGGAAAGGGGGAGTAGAATGGAGAAGGAATGAGAAAGGGAGAGATATAAAGGCACACGCTGTAATGACTGGATCAGGGCCCCAAATGCTAGAGAACGGTTGAACAACCCCGGTGAACAAACCCAGGTGAACAACCCCACGTGAACAACCCCGGTGAACAAACCCCGGTGAACAACCCCGGTGAACAACCCCGGTGAACAACCATGGTGAATAACCCCGGTGAACAAACCCAGGTGAACAAACCCAGGTGAACAACCATGGTGAACAAACCCCGGTGAACAACCCTGGTGAACAAACCCCGGTGAACAACCCCGGTGAACAACCCCGGTGAACAAACCCAGGTGAACAACCCCGGTGAACAACCCTGGTGAACAAACCCCGGTGAACAACCCCGGTGAACAAACCCCGGTGACAACTCCTGTGAACAAACCCCGGTGAACAACCCCGGTGAACAAACCCCGGTGAACAACTCCGGTGAACAACCCAGGTGAACAAACCCCGGTGAACACTCAATGTTGTGTTTACTCACGGGAAGGGGAATGACAAGGGTAAGTGAGGGGCAGGAAGCAGGAAGAACAGGACGAGGGAATAGGAGATGGGAACAATCAGTAGAAAGCGCCAAGCCATTACGACTATATAGCACTTGGGAAGAGATCCAGTCGGGGATTGAACGCCGGCCTGCATGTAGCGTGACCGTCGCTCTACCCTGAGAAAGGAATGGAAGCAAAGCTGAGGGGAAACAAATTGCTAAACGGGGGGGAGGGGGGGGGGGGCTCTCAAGACGGTTGAAACACGAGGATAAGAGAAACATAAAGTTGACAAGGAATTGAATGGAAGAATTAAACTGAGCACTAGGCTCAAACCCAAGGATTAGGCTCAGTCTCTAAGACACACACAAGTAAGACAACGGAAATTCAACAAGAGAGAGAGGGAAGTGGTGAAGCAATTGTATCCTCCTAGATTGTCAGGACGTCTTGGACACTGTTCCACACAATTATTACGCACGCTAGATGAGCATGCTGGTGCGTCTGAAGGAGTGCTAAGCTGGGTAAAGGGGATAACTCTTAGGAATGTTGCCAAAGCGTGCCCAACAGCCTGGTTGACCAGACCACCAACTACGAGACCTGGCCGCGAGAACATTGATTCTCGCAACCGCTTCAAGGTAACTTTAAGGTGAGGCAATCCTTGTTGTTTTCAGAAACTTGGAAAAAGCAACCATCCTTATATATATATATATATATATATATATATATATATATATATATATATATATATATATATATATATATATATATATATATATATATATATATATATATACATACACATAGGCAGCATCAACTCTCAGATAAGCGTACACTTACAAAGGCCGCCACACACTTAGATAAACGCACACATACCAATCTACACAGCCACCCACACAATAATATGGAAATAATTATTCTTGAGTGCAAAAAGTGTTCCTACCTGAGGCCAACATTACCCTTGAGCGTGGCACTGGTGGTGTCAGGCTACCGGCACTCACTTGGCATCACAGTTATCATAATATTGGTGGTGCCAAGACCCCGTGTACACGGAGACACGGGCACAAGTCGCTCCCACCACCACTATCACCGCTTAAACTATCCCCAACACTGCTCCAGAGACGTTGTAACTGCCACTAACAGCTTCAACAACCATCGCCGTCATCACTACCACTACAACCACAACAACATCTGCCTGAACCACCACCGTCAACACTACAACTACAGCCTTAACCACCACCAATACAACAACATCTGCCTGAACCACCACAACATCAATTCCACCACCATCACAACATTTATTCCTGCACCACCACCACAAATATCATGACCAGTACGGACACACAACAATCACCACCACCATCATCATCCCTTCAACCAGACACACACACACACACACACTCAGAACTACCACCACTGCCACACATATACATTAATACACCGAGACAGGCATGACCGCGGCTCATACAAGCCAGTACACACCTGAGGGTCATAGAGATTACCTAAGCCATCAGTATACACACTGCTCTTACACCTCCACTGACAGTACAAACTCCAACCCAAACACACACACACACACACACACAAACAACACCCCCAGTCACCCAAGTCCCAACCCGACGACACAAAACCCACACCAAGATGTCACCTGCCTGTCCCCGCGATCACCGAAGAATTTATCCAATCCGGATAAGAAAAATATGTGTTGAAATGCCTCGACACGACGCGCTGGGCAAAAACAGCTGAACGGCTCGTCGCCCGCCATTGTCGCTTGACAGGTATCTGTGTCTCTGGGAGCGCCGCCAACCACAACAGGCATACAATAATTGGCCGGAAGTTTGCTTAGCGTTTATGACAAATGATAACTATTAGTCTCTCTCTCTCTCTCTTGTTTCGCTGATAACAGTATCAAGAGCGGGAGAGCAAGCGGTTGTCACATCCCTGTCATGGGTTGTAGGTCCCCCTGTCATGGGTTGTAGGTCCCCCCCTGTCATGGGTTATAGATCCCCTACCACGGGTTATAGATCCCCTGCCACGGGTTATAGATCCCCTACCACGGGTTATAGATCCCCTACCACGAGTTATAGATCCCCTACCACGGGTTATAGATCCCCTACCACGAGTTATAGATCCCCTATCACGAATTAAAGCTTCCAAGCCGTGGATTAAAGCTTCTGTACCACCAATTCAAGCTTCCCATCGCTGATTGAAGATTCCCTGCCATTGGTTAAGGCTTCCCTGCCACGAGTTATAGATCCCCTACCACGGGTTATAGATCCCCTACCTCGGGTTATAGATCGCCTACCACGGGTTATAGATCGCCTACCTCGGGTTATAGATCGCCTACCACGGGTTATAGATCCCCTACCACGGGTTATAGATCCCCTGCCACGTATCAAGGATTCCCTGCCGCGGGTTCAATACTGAGGTTAGCAAGAGTGTTGAACTACGAGGGCTAACAATCTCCTGTTCCCTGGAGGAGACTCCGAAGACTCCTGGCGGTATGTCACCTGCTAATTAAACACCCACGCGATCAAAATACATTTACCTGTTAACAGGCTGAAGTGCCTGTTTGGTGGCGCTTATACTCGACTGTTTTCATAGTGAAATATAAGTTGCCAATCATTATTTTGACTACACCGATAAAAAGAACATTGAAATTAAAAGCCTTTCAAGTGAATAAATAGTGAGTGTTATGGTAGGTGGAGGAGCCTGGAGGTGCTCCACCAGCCCCGTCTGCTGCCACTCACCTGTCGGGCTGTTGCTCTGCTTGACGTAGGCGGCCGTGGGCGTGAGGGTGGGCGTCGTGTTGGGCGTGAGGGCTGACCACATGTCTCGATCACCGAGGGCGCCCATGGGCGGGAGGGGCGCGGCGGGCGTCATGCTGGTGTAGACACCAGGGGAGGCGGGCGGGTACTCTGCCACGCCGCCGCCGCCGCTGTAGGATGGCAGCGAGCAGGAGGCGGAGTACATGTTGCCGCCGTAGGATGTGGGCGGCTGCGGGTAGCTGGCGTAGTCCTGGTAGGACGGGTACTGGCCGTACTGGCTGGCCGGGGGCAGCTGAGACCCGCACACGTCGTAGGGCGTCGCCAGGGAAGGCGCCCCTCCCTGGTACAGCGGGTACGGCTTCATTGCCTGAACCTTCCTGCGGAATCCTCGAGGACGCCGCCGGAAGGATCCCTCCTCGAACATGAGCTCGGCCGTGGGGTCGATGGCCCAGTAGTGGCCCTTGCCCGGCCGGCCCATCGACTTGGGCAGCTTGATGAAGCACTCGTTGAGGGAGAGGTTGTGGCGCACCGAGTTCTTCCAGCCGGTGTAGGAGCCGCGGAAAAAAGCAAACCGCTGTTGCAGGAACTGATAGATCTCCGAGAGCGTCAGACGCCTCTGAGGGGAGCTCTGGATGGCCATGACGATGAGAGCGATGTAGGAGTAGGGCGGCTTCTCCTGCCGGCGGGCTCCCCCCCGCTTACCGCCGCCCGAGGTCTTCTCGTTGTTGCCGTTAGAGGCGGCAACTCCCGTAGGGGCGTCGTTGGGGACCTCGGTGATTGGCGCCGGCGGGACCTCCTCGGGAGGCACCAGCGGCGCTAGGGCCGCCACTCCGCCGTCTTCTTCGCCTTTCATGGCCACAGCGCTGGCCAAGAGTGCCAGGTCGCCGAACTCGGCCGTACCCGCCACACTCCTGAACCCGAGAGCCGCGATTGTGGCGCTGACGGCGACGCCGCGGTGCTCCGTGTTGACTTGTGGCGGCGGGCAGGCGCGTCGTGCTCACCGGCAGTGCCGCCGCTCGTGCTCAACGGGGCCTTAGGCTTCACAAGTGTTCAAATGGGTAAATATTTACTAGTCAAGTGGCAGGTGGGACGCTCCTGGGGGGGTGGGGGGAGGAGATGGCTCCTGGGTACGCTGCCCTACAAGTCTCACGCTCTGGCCGGGGGTCACAGTCCGCTCTAGGTCGGGGTGGCACTGGTCAGGTCGTGCCCAGGTGAGCGTGCCACCGCCTCGGGCAGGCCCTGGCTGTGCCCCGGGCCGCCCACCACGCATGCGCGGTCGCAGAAGGCGGGGCATGGCGGCTGCTCCGTAAAATGCCGCGATCATTATACCCTTGTTTGTTTCGCCTGCCCGAGAGGGTGCCCCGAGACGCTACCCCAACCTACAAAATCTTTCCGCTATCATATGCCTTTAAACGCAATTTTTTTTAATTAAATATTAATTAAAATATCACATTTTTCCGCGAGCCTCCGTGATTTTTATTTAATTATTGACCGTAGTTAATACGGTGAAAATATAAATTGTAAATACTGCTGTGTAAAATAGAGCTTAAGACTCGAAACATCGAAATATATATATTTTTTTGCGGCAATGAAGACGGCTATTTCAGGTCCCATCATTCAGTTCTTTTCCAAGAACATGGCCGAGGAAGCCAAGAACATCGCTACCCAAGACCACCCACATTCTTGAGCCGTCCGTCGCCCCGCCTACAGCGGGACGAGGGGGGCGGGGCCAAGAGCCAGGAACCCGCAGGCGCCACCCTGATTGGCTCCAGGCGACTCGGGGCGGACCCTCAGGGGGCATCTCGCCGCTCTGATTGGCCCTCGGGTCATTCCTATCTAATGTTCTGCTGGTAATGGATTTTCTGAAACCTGGCATCTTCAAGTTGATATCCCGGTAATTTGTCTTGTGGTAATGACACAGCTGAGGCGGTCTTGTGTGTCAGACTCAGTGGACTCCTCTTGTTCAATGTATTACTCGTATTAATACACCAGTTCAACTACAAATATAAACTTGAAATTTATATTTTTTTTGCCTAATGAATAAAGCAATAATCTTTCTACATGCGTAAATATATATATATATATAGGAGTGACCTCGCATGGGTCAATAAGCCATGTATTGAATTTATTCTTGTGACTGAATAAATAGATCTTATTTATTCTTATTTATGAATAAATTGATTCATTTATTCTTATTTATGAATAAATTGATTCATTTATTCTAATTTATGAATAAATTGATTCATTTATTCTTATTTATGAATAAATTGATTCATTTATTCTAATTTATGAATAAATTGATTCATTTATTCTAATTTATGAATAAATTGATTCATTTATTCTTATTTATGAATAAATTGATTCATTTATTCTTATTTATGAATAAATTGATTCATTTATTCTTATGAAGAAATTGATTCATTTATTCTTATGAAGAAATTGATTCATTTATTCTTATTTATGAAGAAATTGATTCATTTATTCTTATTTATGAAGAAATTGATTCATTTATTCTTATTTATGAAGAAATTGATTCATTTATTCTTATTTATGAAGAAATTGATTCATTTATTCTTATTTATGAAGAAATTGATTCATTTATTCTTAATTTTATTTATTCTTTAATTTATTCGTGTCAGTAACGTATTCGTGCGGCTCGTCCTCTTGACTTGGCACAACATCACTAAAACGATGTACTAAATTGCCGGAACCTAACCTAACACAGGACCCACGCGTAGAAAACGGGGCCCACTCGTAAATTGTGCGAGCCACTATGACGCTATAACACATCATATTTTGCCCGTTGGTGGGGGGGGGGCATTTATACGGCAAAATGCGATGTTATTATTCGCGAGGACGGGTTGGCAGTCATTCAGGAGAGAGACCCCCCTTGTGTAGGTCTTTACCACAGCGTAAATGTTGACATAATTGGTGAAACCGATCGACCCTGTAACGCGTAACTTAACGCTCCCTAGTGTTACCTTGTTACAACTTCGTACAAAGTTGTGTCACGTTAAAAGGTGTTACAACTTGTCTAAAGGTGTTACAGCTTGTTTAAAGGTGTTACAACTTGTCTAAAGGTGTTACACCTTGTCTAAAGGTGTTACAGCTTGTCAAAAGGTGTTACACCTTGTCTAAAGGTGTTACACCTTGTCTAAAGGTGTTACACCTTGTCTAAAGGTGTTACACCTTGTCTAAAGGTGTCACAACTTGTCAAAAGATATCACAACTTGTTCGAACGTTGTTGCATCGTAGTTTCATCGTGTGCTTGGCGGGATCTAGGAGTTGTTTAAGCAAATCAATTACAATCAATCGAATATTGAGGGAAAAACCCGACATTGTCGCCTGCGGCCCTAAACGCCAGCCCCGCCAGCCTCGCCCTGGACCTGACCAAAATATTGCAGGCGACGAGTCACAATAACGTGGCTAAAGTATGTTGACCAGGCCACACACTAGAAGGTGAAGGGACGACGACGTTTCGGTCCATCCTGGACCATTCTCAAGTCGATTGAGATTCAATCTCAATCGATTCATTCTTAATCGACTTGAGAATGGTCCAGGACGGACCGAAACGTCGTCGTCCCTTCACCTTCTAGTGTGTGGTCTGGTCAACATACTTTAACCAAAATATTCTTAATCAGTACATAACAAAGTACAGTTGGTGACACTTTAAAATATTTTTTTGTCTATAAACTATTAGTTCTCTATAATTTCATTAATAAATCTTGCCACATGTTCTTGTCTGTGCTGATGAAGATTAGTGAATCAAAAATGGTATTAATTCTAATCGTCCCATATGTGTCCCCATTACTGTAATGTGTCCTGATGTCCCATTATTCGGGACAGGAAGCCTATTAGGCTCATCGAGTATCGCGGGTCAACTACTGACCTCTCTAGGTCACTGTGTCAACAGTCTGGTAACATAAATTAACAATATCTTTATAGTTTAACAGTTTAACAGCCTGGTTGACCAGCATTCACATATTATGTAACTAACTCGTCGTCACTGCTGTAACTTGCTTACGTAAACGACTTCTTTGGGTTCAGATCCTGAACCCATTATATCCCGCTGTATCCTTTCAAAATCTTCACCCGGAAATAATTCTACATAAGACCAGGGGGCAGATTCACGAAAGCACTTACGCAAGTACTTACGAACGTGTCCATCTTTCCTCAATCTTTGACGGCTTTGGTTACATTTATTAAACAGTTTACAAGCGTGAAAACTTGCCAATCAACTGTTGTTATTGTTATAAACAGCCTCCTGGTGCTTCGGAGCTCATTAACTGTTTAATAATTGGAAACAAAGCCGCCAAAGATTGAGAAAAGATGTACAGGTTCGTAAGTGTTTGCGTAAGTGCTTTCGTGAATCTGGCGCCAGGAGGGCTGACAGAATGTGCAAGGTAGCCTGTTGAAAGACGTGTAATTATTGTAATTGCAGAGGTGTAATTAGTACGCCGAGAGAGAACTCTTATCATCATCATGGGCTCAAGATTGTTCAACACTCTCTCTCTCTCTCTCTCTCTCTCTCTCTCTCTCTCTCTCTCTCTCTCTCTCTCTCTCTCTCTCTCTCTCTCTCTCTCTCTCTCTCTCTCTCTCTCTCTCAGCGGTATACCTGGACGAGCTCTCACGGTGTTCAAGAGATAACCTGATAAACACTTCTAAAGGCAACCTAATCAACCGGGATGTGAATCCTACGTCATACTACGAGCAGCTGCGTCTAACAGCCTGGTTGACCAGACTACTAACCAGGAGGACTGGTCAGAGATCGAACCAAGGGAATGTTGTTCCTCTGAAGTACCGCAAGGAAGCTACCGCTCACATTATAGGTATGAGGTCCATCACAGCTTACAATATAGGTATTGGGTATATAATAAATCAAATAAACTAAAATATATGCTTTGCAGACAATAGGCCCAAAATCTCAACCGTAGAGAGGCAAAGATGTACATCTAAACGCACACATGTGCGAACATACAAACAAAACATACAGTACACATTTTAAATAGTTAAACACACACACACACACACACACACACACACACACACACACCACACACACACACACACACACACACACACACACACACACACACACCGAGAGAACAGGCGAGGACCGAAAGACCGAAGCTCAACCCCCGCAAAAACACAACTAGGTGAAATCGACTTGAGAATGGTCCAGGACGGACCGAAACGTCGTCGTCCCTTCACCTTCTAGTGTGTGGTCTGGTTAACATATTTTAGCCACGTTATTGTGACTCCTCGCCTACAACTAGGTGAATACACACAAACAATTCCCTAATATTGACCCACATCACTTACCAATTAGATCAATCAAGCGGCCACTTGATCAACCACTCTTTCATCATCTCCAGAGCCTTCCTGCAATTTATTTATTATTTTATTTATTTATTTATTTATTTATTTATTTATATACAAGAAGGTACATTGGTTTGAGAGAATACATAGCATAGTATTTACACTCTTGTAAAGCCACTAGTACGCGCAGCGTTTCGGGCAGGTCCTTAATCTAACAGATAATTTTAAGTAGGTAAATTCTAGCAGAATTAATAAAATGATAACAGATACATTGCAAGAAAAAAATGAGATGAGAGAGATTAGTAAGTATAGTAAAGCACATTGGTATATTAATTTAAAGCTCTGATTGATTACATTGACAGCTTGATTGGTAATTTAAACAAGATTAATAGACACCATACAGCAATCATACAATCTTCCGTCGTTTGCGTATTCCTCGTAATTGATACATGATTCGTAATAACAGACGAGGGTGTCTATTCCCTCTGATATAGCATTCACATAGATTAATAATAGAATGGACCATAATACTGACTCCTTTGTGATGCCGTTGGTAAAATCCCGACATTCTGAGGTCTCTTCTCTCGGTGTGACTCTCTGTTCTCTGTTGCTTAGGTACTCCCTGATTTTTTCATTTTATGCAGAAAGGGTGGTAGTGAAGATGGGGTTAGTGATTATGGTTGGGTAGTGAGGGAGGGTGATTGATTGTGAGGAAGGTGATGGGTAGTAGTGGTGAGGGTGAGTGGTGAGTGATGATTGTGTTTTGTGAGGTATAAGATGTTCACAGGAGTGATAATAGTGATGAGGGAAGAGGCACTGATAAGGAAGGAGAAAGGAGAAGGAGGAGGAAGGGAAGGAGGACTTCGAAGAGCGGACATTATCCCTTGTATTTAGACTTCTTCAACACGAAGACTCATCAGTTACGTGTGAACATTTTTGCACCTGTAGCCATCAATATCATAGTCTATTCAAGTGTTTTGTGCATGAGTAGAGTGTAGTGTGAGATGAGGGCATCGTGTATACCCCGGGAACACCTAAGAT